AAAAGTTCCCTATCTCACTGGGACTCTTTATGCTGAACTGCCTCTGGAGCCCAGCTGAAGCCAAACCTTGGAAACACAGATAAGCATATCGCCACTGTCATCACTTTCTTCAATTAATAATTATTGAAGGTACGCAGGAATTTCAGGGAGGCATGAGGAAGAGTGAGGGGAGGGAAGGTAACACCTCAAGGACAGCCTGTCTGCAACTCTGAGCAGATAGGCGAGCACCCAAAGGGGGGAAGGCTCAGCATCCACGAACCCCTCCCTGATCTGGACCTCCCAGAGGATGCTGCATCTCTGTTGTGACTCTTTAAATAGGACTCCTGGGCACGCCCTGCCTTCTCGACTCAACTGTCAGCTTCTTACAGACAGGGTCTCAGGGCTTGAGAGACAATGCATGGCTCCAGTGAAGAGTACAGGATGGGAGCCAGGCATGACTTCCCCACCGAACAGCTGATCAACCTGGGGCAGGTTACTTTTCCTCTCTGTGCCTCGGTTTCCCTCATCTGCTGGATGGATAATGACAGTGCCTACCTCCAAGGACTGCAGTAAGGATTAAATGAGTTAATATGCAGTGAGTGTGAACAACTGACCATCTCTATAAGTCCTTTAGAGCCTGGCTGGCATAATGCTTCTCATGTAGGAGATGCTCGGTAAACGCGTGCAGACAGAATGATCTGCCCCTGACGGTGTTTTCTCCATGCCCCTGGCTCCTGTCCTCACCTTCTTGTCTTTTATGGAAGGTAGGGAAGTCACCGCCTCATTCTGAGCTAGTTTGGGGAATAAAAGCAACCCATCTGAATAACCCGGGTCCAAAAATAAAAAATTTTAAATAATCTGCAAATTTTCTCTAATGATATTAAAACAGACTGCCCACCCACAGACACGTAACCAGATAATTTCCAGACTTCCCCTTCACTTTGAGCCATGGAGTCTTAGAATCTTTTCATCCTAGAGTCAAGGCTCACTATTTCTGTATTTCTTTATTTTCTAGAAAGTATAAATGGAAAGCCAAATTGCTGGGCCTCGTGTGTGTGTGTGTGTGTGTGTGTGTTATATGTATCTCACATTTAAAAGAATCCACATAAAGCCTCCAGGAAAGCTTTTAAAGTTACCAAACACACCCATATTCCTGTGCTTTATCAAAGTACAGTAAATGAATTGCCAAAAATGAACAACAGCTCCAGAGTCAAGTAGATGGCACAATGTGATTTACGCCTATCGCATGAGATGAATAAATCGACGGTGGAAAAGATCAAAAGAAAGGCTGGAATTGTTGTTAATATGTACAGGGCTCCACCGAAAATCTTAATAAAACTGTTTAGAGGAAAAGAGAGGGATCATTTGTTGACATGAAAAGAGATACTGCATGCACTGCATTTCAAAAGCGGCATTCATTTTCATACACACACATATTAGATTTAGCTAAAATTAGCTCAGGTTTCTTTCTTTCTTTTTTTTTTTTTAAAGGTCTTAAAGAAATAAAGGTTTCAACATGATTTCATTGAGCTGCAGTTCGGCACTGAGCTTCCAGGGAGAAGACCCGCTCACCCACCCAGCCACCCCTGCAGCCTGGCACCAGCCTTCCCTGCCCCTCGGTCTCCCCAGACCAAGCACACAAAGGCTGCACTACGCCAACGTTCCAGCTCCTCTCCGCGGCCTCTCACCTTCCCTCCACGTACTCCACGCCCGCTGATGCCAGCCCTTGAAATAGTCATTCCCCACTCCCGCCTGGCAAACTTCGGGCAAACCCAAAGCTCAATTTCAAAGACCACTTTCATGCCAATGACTCTTCCAAATTTATCTCCAGACCTGACCTCTCAGCAATTGTGTTCCCACCCGGTCTACAACTAAGATGCCCACCAGCACCTGTGCTCCAGCCAAAATGGCCTGGTGGGTTACATCCCAGGCGCTCGCTGGTTGCGTCCCAGCCACTTACACGGTGTTCCCCGGCTCCATCCATCTCTTCCCACAGAAATGCTAACCAGCCTTCAGAGCTGAACTCAGATGATCCCTCCTCCTCAAAGTCTTTCCTCACCATCCCACTCAGCATCATTCTGAATTCCTTCAGTGTCAGAATTTACCCCAGTAAGGACAACTCACCCCATTCTGCTTTGTATTAGTTCTTTCCGGGCATTTCTTCTTTCCCCTACCTGACCACGAAGAATGCAACCTCCTTCCGGGAGCTCTTACTCACTTTCATTCCCACAGTACCATGTACTAGTTTAAAAAAGACACAGTGAATAAATGAATGAATCATTTCTTTACAGAGATGGTGCCTGTGAGCAAGCTAGGTCATAACTTCACTATAGCCCTACCATATTTACAAAGTAAGTGGAACCAGAAATACTTGTAACCTAGATTTTAATAAAAAAAAAAAAAACCTTAACGAACATAATAGAGTACAGCACGAACGATACTATTTCCCTGCTCACATTTAACCATCAACTGTGAGCACTGTAAGGAGGCCATTATTTATGCAAAATGTTTAGATAATGCTTGTAAGCTTCCTTTAAATGCAATCACAGAAAATGTCAGCTGCTGAGAATTCAAGGTGACTCTGTACTACTTTGTTGGTAATACAATACGTATTCATAAGACACTCAGACTTGCTCAATATACTATAAAAACCTCGGTGCCTTCTCAGTAAGCTGCACCTATCGGCCAAGAGATAGGACTTTTTGTTACTTGTGTTTTCACAATGAAATTCTCTTTTAAACACCACAGGTGAAAAAACAAATGTGCATGTGTATTAACCACATATGTAATAAAACGACTGCCCCAAAAACTTCAACGTGAGGATTTTCTGTGTAGCCTATGAAATGGTAACACCCCTAAGAGATAAAGCAGCAGGGGTAAGGCATCTTACACCTTTCCAGTCCGCTGACACCTGCAGACCTTAAGAAGCTTACCTTTGCATGTAACTGTGGGGTTATTCTATTTCCTTTTAAACGACACCTCCCTGACCCACTGCCCATAAAATGCCAAGGACCTAGGTCCATATTTCTCAAGGTTATAATGTTTGGGATCACTTCCTGACCCACCCCACCCCGGCCCCATCCCCCAAGCAGGACTTTTCTGGCTACCCTTCCTGAGACATTGTACTTCAGTCACTCCGGTTTTTGTTTCTTTTTACTTGGACCACGCCTAACTTCATTTGTGCACCCAACTTCTTACAACAAGAGGAAAACACCACGTATGCATCCTATCGCAGCAAGGGAGATGGACTCACACAACATTCAGAAAAATAAATAAAAGGCTCATTTGCTTTGCAGAGCCGCAAATGTCTACAGTGTCGGTCCAAAGATCAAGGTACAGGTGTATTTACCAGCTCCTAGTCATGTATGGTCCAGGAGCAACCATCACTAAACAAGAACATTACACTTCTCCTGTCAAGAGGTTAAGTCCTATGATCACAAAGATAACTTATGTTCACAGATCACAAACCATACGCTGGTACTATCCTACTCCGTATACACATGTTATTTCATTCCATTCTCACAGCAGCCCTAGAAGAAAGTTCTAATCTTGGGGCACCTGGGTGGCTCAGATGGTTAAGCGTCTGCCTTCAGCTCAGGTCATGATCCCAGGGTCCTGGGACCGAGCCCGACGTCCGGCTCCTGGCTCAGCAGGGAGCCTGCTTCTCCCTCTCCCTCTGCCTCTCCCCCTGCTCATTCTCTCATTCTCTCTCTGTATCTCTGTGTTGCGAATGAATAAATAAAATCTTTAAAAAAAGAAAGAAAGAAAGTTCTAATCTTATCTCCACCTTACTCATCAAGAAACTGAGGCACAGAACGCTAACGGGACACAGTGGCAGCTCCAGATGCTAAATGCAGACAGGCTGGTTCCAGAGCCCCATGCTCTTGGCTCAGATGCCACGGAAATGACAGGTTCACTTAAAAAGTCGATCTTAGGTATAGAGGGGCAAATATCCACCTCTTAACAAATTAGCTGCAAATCGGGCATTTTATATGTGAGGTGTGGCAACGGCAGACCATGGGTCTCGCCAAGGAAGGAAACAGAACATGACTCGGGAAGAGCTGCCCAGAGACCACCCGGTCCAGCAGTTCCCAAACCCGTGGAGCATCACTATGATTCCAAGAGACCATTAAAGTTTCATTTTGATTCAGGAGGTGGAGCCCCAAATCCTTTTCTCTGTCTCTGTCTCTCTGTCTCTCTCTCTCCCCCCCCCCCCCTCTCTTTTTAAGCTTTCTAGGTGATTCTGTGGCCCAGCCAGGCTTGGGAACCTCTGAAGGAGTCCATTTCCACAGGTCCCAGCAGGACCGCTCCCAAGGTAAATAGCAAGAGGGGATCTATTTCACAATCCCCTTTGGTTGCATACACCAGGGCTCCCAAGCCCTCTTGCCCCAACTTCTGTCTAACTTCCATGTCTCCCGATTTCATGTAGGCAGGATCCTCTTGTCCTCTCTTCAATACAGAACCATGAGTCATCAACACCACATACACCCCTGTGTCTGCATGACTCTCCAGGCCAGAAAAATTTACTGTACGTGAGGCAATCAGGAAGTTGTAAAATCCAAACAGACACAAAGAAATTCAAGATTCGACAAATACTGGCTGCCACTGAACAAACAGGCCTCTGTCTCCCTACACTTGAATCACTCTACAACAAAAACCTAAAACGTGAAAACCGTGACTTACGGTCACAGTCTGGCAGTGAAACGGTCTCATCGCGTTAAGGAAAAGGTGACAGCGAAGACGATCAGGCTCGAGCCTGACACACCAACAGCCAATCGTCACCAGGTCAAATGCAGACTTCTTCGTGAACCACTTTCTTCTAAATTAAACCGAAAAGAGACACACTTCAAGCCAAGTTTTTAAAAATGCTCTTGGCGATTTCTCAATTTCCCTCCGAAGGCAGTTTGCCAAGGCAGTCACACTGAACGGTCCACGACACGTGAAAGCGTGGGTACGAGGTGATTTTCCAGGTCAGACGTGATCCTCGGATGGGAACTACACGAGCATGGCCAAACTCTCACCTGATACGTGATGCACTTCCCTGTAGTGGCCGTGGAGGAGGAGACCGCCTTCCAAGGATGACACACAAATCCGCGGCTCGAACGGACCACCCTGGCGACTTGCCACACGATGCTCCTGCAGGGGTAGGGGTGGGGTAGGGGTGGGGTAGGGGTGGGGTAGGGGTGGGGAGGGGGGGTGCAGGAGAAGAAATGCAAAATGAAAACCAGGACAAATGGCTTCCAAAAGTAATTCCACCTTAAGTACACTGAAATCTAAACTTTAAGGACATCAAATTGTGCATTTTGTCTTATGAGAATTACAGATACCAGCCAGCTCAGAAGGCAGGTCTGGTTTGAGTCAACAGGGCTCAGAGGGAGGCCACCACACAAAAAGGTCATCCCTTCAATCAAATTAAGAGCTCGGCCTCCCCATTGGAGCCAGGCACTGTCATTCTTTTCCCTAATGATTCTAACCTATCATCTGATAAACACATGCTGGTAATCACAGGGATATCAGGTGAAATGGGCATGGGTTGAATAGTAGTAATTAAGCCAAAGTCTAATTTTCACATGGCATATATTACTATCAACATGCAACTTGAGGAACAATCACAAAAAAGCACAGTTATTGGCACACCGGTCGAATGGGATAGAAAAATGTATCAAATGCAGAAAAAACTGTGAAAGTATGCACATGTTCACTAGACTTTCCACTGGATTTTAAATTATTTCTTTTTTGAATGTATGTCTACTTCATTTTCATTTTGCCACAATGCCTTGCACACGGTTAAGTAAAAATCATCCACTGTATAATGAATGAGTGAATGTGTGAATGGATGAACAAGAGAATGAATGAATCTTCCATATACCTTTCCATCAGGGAGCTTGGTGCTTGTAGTAGTTTTTGTGAGGTAAAGACCTATGCACAGAAATGGAAGAAGTTGAGGACTTGATCTGCTAGCAGAGTTTTCAGCCCTATTAAAATAATATTTTTAAGTACTGGTCATTCCCAACTGCCCACATGAAATAGAAAGAATCAGAAGCACAGTTATAAACTAACCCCCCAACTAGTCATTGCTGGGCAGATTTTCCGTCTTTGATTACTGGAACTGATCTGTATATTTGTTTGGGCTGATTTTTAAATTTAGTTTGGGTTTCCTAAACCCACGCTACGTAACAGTAGGAAGGAGGAGGCCCAGGATTACATTGGATGTCAGAAAGAAACTATTCTGGAGTTATGAATACGATCTCCAATGTGAATAATCTGTAAACAGGTAAGTCAGCCAATTGTCCCCGGGTACATGGCAACACATCTCTGTAGTCATGATTATTTTCATCCATACACACTCACTATTTTTAAGAGCACAGCCCAGCAGGAAAGGAAAATAATTTCAATCGCTTTCCAACACTTTTCAAAGTAATGAATAGTAGCCAAAGCATTCTTACTTCTAACGAATCCATTCACCAAGTATTTACTTAAGCATCTACTGCATGCCTGGGACTGATATGCAAAAGAAGTCAAGTTTTCTAGTCCCTGGTTTCCCCCACGTAATCTGTGAGTACAGAGAACGTAGGGAAGCTGTTCTAGACTATAACGTCTTTGAAGTCCTTGGAAGACTCCGCTAAGTCTAGCCCTCCGCGAAGAAGCTTGTGGAGTTACAACGTCAATCATGGCCAAGTTAAAGAGAGGATTCTCTTTGCCCTTCCACAGTAGCTGTTTTCTTGTTTGTATCCAGTAACTTCTCAAACGAAGCATCAACATACTGGATAATCAGTTCTGAGCAAGGTGCAGGTCCCGTGGATTTGCAGACAGCACTTGCTTTATGAGCTAACAGTTGAGCGTTTGCCGGTATGTCTACGTGGGCACATAGTCCTATTTACATACCACCTGGCAGATAAGGTTTCATAGAGTCCAAATTACAGTCTCCTCCTATTCTGCTGAAGTACACAGCACAGTCAAACTTGATGCAAATGCTGTAAAATATTAATTTACTCTCACACAGGTATGCCTACTTATTTCTAAAGTATTTGTGTTGCTACACCAGGTACAGTAATGAACAGAGTTCACGTAACTTACTGTTCCATCCCCAGAGGGAAGAAACACAAGAACCAAAAAAGCAAGGCAGAGTGGATTCACTGCAAAAACATACAAAATACTAAACAAAAAAAACAAACCAACCCCGATAATAGCCTACAGATGTTTTCTACAACATATACACTAAACATAGAATGCTTCATATTTTAAAAGCACAGCAGAACTACATAACACAATTCCATTTATAGAGGAAGGTTACTAAGATAGATGGTCTAAATAACGCTAATGGGATAGTAAAGAGGAAATAATAGATAAATAAATACAGGAGATATTATAAATAATTCGGGGAGAGTAGGCCAAATCTAAGGGTGCAATAAAAGACAATCTGCCATACACAGTGACAGAAGAATACATTTTCTTTGCATGTTAGGAGATAAATTGCTTATAGGTTAGGAGCTAAGACGATTATCACTAAAAACTTCTGCTAAATAACTCCCTCAAAAGGTGTCATGCCTAAAGAGCCCCTAAGTGGAATAAAGAGTTCCTCTTAGCCTGAATCAAAACAGCATAATCAGGGCAACCTCGGCCCCCTTAAGTCTCAAATTCTGATTACACTACAATGAGTTTTCTAAAAAGTCATTTTCAGGTAGGATACCATTTTTGCTTACATTATGGCAATTATCACTGCATTTTCATTACTCCACAAATGGTATGCATTAAAAGTTATAGAAAAATCAATGAGACGTTTCTGCTAACATCAAACATATCAAGGAAAATATAATGCTTGTCGCTTTTTTTGTCTGTAACAGTTCTAAACGGGTTTCATTACATTCGGTAACACGCACTACAAACATTTATAGCACGCTAGCCCAGGAAGTTCATATGGATAAGGATTACAAAATATATTACTACACTGATAAAGACAAAAATACATAAATTATGAAATAGGAAAAAGATTTTTAAAACTGTCTCCACAAATAGAGATGATTTACCTAAATCTTTTTATCACTCCTACAGTTTTAAGCATTTATATGTATTTTTTTCAAAACCTTGATCCAATTACAACTCTTTCAGCCAACATTTAAAAATATTCTCCAAAACAGCATTCAGTATGCTCATTATTATATCATCTCTTAAAGACATGTTGAATGGGTATTTTATTAAACTGAATTCAATGAAACTAAAATGTGAACAGCATAATTGAGGGCTACAAAATTCATTCTTAAAAATGGGCAGTCCTTTACGGAACACCCTGGGACAGAAATGATTATCTCTACTGAGATTTCTACAATGTATTATTCTCAGTGCTTTTACAAAATAAGGAGGGCCTGCTTCTGATAACCTTGGAAGTATGACCAGAACTAAATCTGTTCTTTGAAGCAGTTACTTGTCCATGTCTAAATCTCTCACAGAAGCCAATCATTCAAATTACTGAATAACTCTGAAAATAAAAAGCAATGGAAATCAAATTATTTATGTCCACCCTGAAAATGATGTCTACCCTGTCTCCTGCACTCTGTCACATTAATATGCAAGCACATCAGTGTTTCAGAGTCTAAACTATGTGCTCCCTGCTCACAGCTATAGTTGAAAGAATGAACATTCACTCCTACACTAATTTACAGGATTTTAATAAAATATGTTTATCGACTAACTTCTAATAGGAAACAAAATGAGCCGCTGTTACAATGTGTTGGTCATCAGAAACTGTCATTCAAGGTAAGTGCAAACGTAAAATCCACTTGACATTTCAGAATGGGAAAAAAAAAATAAAGGCATATTACACAAAAGGAATGTGAGTCCTTAAACTCTGTAATGACAATAAATACAGGAGTCACAGAAATGTGTTTACTAATGTTTTAAAAATCTCTTAAGGCTGGCCTTTCCCAGGACTCAGAGACAATGAAACGTAAGGCCTTCTACAGGCACTTGACATAGAATCTGATGGCTGAGAGTTTTTCTTGAATCTCTCTCGAAGAGTAAAATACAATTCAGAGGCCCTGGAGCCTAGTTATAATATTCCCGACAAAGTATCACTTCTGTTAACCAAACCCTCTTAAAACGAAATCCAGAGAGGAAAAGATTGACTTTCACAGTTCCCAATCAAGTACATTTTTCATACTTATTTTAGCATTCAAAAATACATGTTCACGTTTTACTGCAAGAGATTTTCTGTATGTTGCAAAATCCAGGACCTCCAAAGTGTGTACAACTTAAACTTCTGTGCCTTACTTCATATCCTTGCTTCCCATCTATTTACGTCCTAGGAAAAAAAAATAGCTTGTTTTAACCACAGAAGCACTTGATCTGAACAGGCCACAATCAAGTTACCAACCGCATAAACTCACTAAATGGTAGAAAGTCGTAAACCCCCTGTGGGGAAAGAATCCTAGCCCCAGGGCAAAAAAAAAAAAAAAGGATTTACCAATTTAGCTATGGGGCTGTAAAACTGAAAATTGAAAAACGGACTGGCAGGATCACAACCAAATCAAGACATTATTATTCTCAATTACTTTCTCTTTCATATATCAGGGTTATTAAAATACTCCCCCTCAGGTGGATCGCCTGTGCCACACAAAAGCTTCAGCAACCAAAGCTACTTACTTTTCTCTCCTTTTTATTTTTTGGCAACAGGATTATTTTTCTTTGCCTAGTGGACTTAATGAGGTGGCGTCGTAATGCAGAGAGGAGAGTACTGCTCTCTAAATTATTAAATGCTCATTAAATTATATCTCCAAATACAGTGCAAGCCGCTTATTGTGTAAAAGCATCACCCATTGTCAGTCTCCGAGCTCTAGGCCTCTATCATCTCTCACCTGAGAGAAAAACCTTGGAACTTACTACTGACAGATGCAAAGATTAAGGATGGCCAAGAAGTCCAAATTAAAAATGCACCCATCCAGAATGGCCCCGCCAGTCAGTCCCATTTTTTGTGGATTATAGCGGCTATGGTAACGGTAAAGTTGTGAAATGTGACAAGGGGGTTATCCGTCCCACATAAACCCCTTCCACTGAGTCAACCCTTTAGGATCCCGACACTGACAACATAGGTTCTAAGGGACGGGTGCTTTCCCACTTGAAGGGGTTAAGTATCCGCAAGGCCAAAGGCACCAGACTGCAAAAGAACCGTTGCTTTGGTAAGTTCTGAAAGGTTTCTAACAAGTACCAAATACTTGTTGATCTGTTCACAATCAACATCAGCAGGACTGCCAGGCCTCTTTCACTGTGCAGGGAAAGGCATTTACATATTGCGCCCAGCAAGAACAGCTTGCTGGTCTCCTTTACAAAAGTTGAGTCGCTGCAAAGTCTCATTCAGTGTCTCCTATCCAAATGACCAAAAGAAGGCACAACTGAGGCAGTGGAGTCTCTCCTCTGGCTGGCGCAGCACAGATCCTGTGCATAAAACACTTGGAGTAGTCCAGGCACAAGACAAACCCACCTGAATGGACGAGGCACACTGTCTGTTGCCATGGCAGCCTGATCTAATTACAGGAGTGATCAGGGCCTAGAGTAAGTGCAGGGAAAACCTACACCATTGACACGGATCTACACGATGAGAAAGACAGGCAGCCAGGAGGTTCGGGGGAGCCCTTCACCCTCTGCTGTACGCAGAAGGCGCTCTCAAGCCCATTTGTCTGCTGAGCTGCTAAAATATTGACTGAGGCATGCACAGTTGGAGGACAATCAGAGGAGATCAAATGCCACAGCATTAGCTGTTACGGTGCAGTCCCTTTCCAAGAGTCCATGTGCAGGATTTTCTCAACCTTCTCTTTGGTGGTTTCCTCAGGCATAGGCTTCATTCCACCAAATAAAAAGAAAAGAAAAAGAAAAAAGGCCCAAGTATCCAACTGCAAACAAACCACAGGGTGGGCTAACAGGGGCTTCTAGGAACTACAGGGCTCCTGAGAAACCCAAACAGAAATGGCTTAGCTAACACTGTTGAAAAAGTAACCAGCTATGCCTAAAAATAACCATCAAGTAACTACCCACTGCTCTGTGCGATATGTACCGACAATGTTTAAATATTAAGAACAGCCTGCATTACAAAACACAAATGTCATTGAGATGTGACTACTAGATTGCCAAAGGAGAACTTATTTGCATATACACATTCCCGAGCCTGCACGAAGGGATGTGCAGGGAGCATGCCACTCTAAGACAGTAGTTCTCATTCTGTGGGTGTAATAGGGTCTTCTAATTTTACTAATTGTATCCCGTAGATCTCGCAGGGAAGCTAAGAATCTCTTCGGGGACAGAACCAGTTTGGAGGAGTCCCTACTGCACAGCATACGGTAAACAAAATAAAAATAGCTTGCCGTTCTCGTTAGCCACATCGCGCATTATATAACCAGCTTCCGACTGGCTTTTTTTTTTTTTTTCTTGCCCTTACTACTCTTCAGCAATTTCCCAATCTCCCGAAGTATTTATATTACCCTCTTATCTGCAGGATTATATACTGAGAAAGCAAAACAAAACAGAACAGCCACAGGGTTGAACCGAACCCCACGGTCCTTGGAAACTGATTTTTTTGTTGTTGTTTTCTGGCAAGATCACCACCACCACCCTACTTCCACCCCCCCACCCCCCACCCCCACTAAGGTCCTTGCTCAATCTCCCTAGAAAACCTGAATTGTTTCATCGCTTCCAGTCAGCCCCCTACGTGGTCTGAAATAAAATGAAAGCACAAGCCCCGGAGTTTAGGAAAGCGGCCTGGGGGCGGGGGGCTGGGGGCTGGGGAGGGGTCGGGGCGCCGCGGAGTCAGCCAAGTGGCCCCCGTGGGGCCGCTCCCCACCGCGACGGCCCCCGCCGCCCCCCCGCCCACACGCACACACACACGCGCGCGCACACACACACACGCACGCACTCACTCACACTCACGCCGCGCTCCGCCGCCGCCTCACCTCTCGCTCCGCCCGGCCGGCCCCTGCCCTGCCCCCTGCGGGACCGGCCTGCTCGCAGCGCTGGAACCACGTAGGAGGCGGCGGCGGCGGCGGCCGCGGGAGTGGCGGAGTCTCCGGCCCGGCCCAGAGTGAACGAGCAGCGGGGCTCCAGGGCGCATCCCAATCCCCGCAGCGCCTCCTCCGCCGCCGCCGCCTCCTCCTTCCCCTCCTCCTGGCTTCATTCACCCTCCCAGCAGCCGCGCAGCCGCTCACTCCCGGCGCCGGCAGGGCAGCGCCCGCCGCCGCTCCTCCGCTCCTGCCGCGGGCGCTGGCGGGGGCGCGGGCCCGGGCTGGGGCGCTCGCGGGCTCCCGGCTCCGGGCGGCGGCGGCGGCGGCGGCGGCGGCTGCACATGATCAGGAAGCGGCCGCACCAACAGGGCGGCGGTGGTGGCGGCGGCGGCGGCGGCGGCAGCAGGGCCGCCACCGCCGCTCCAGCCGCGCTCCCGACACCCGCACGTCGGCTCCCCCCGCGCCCACCCCTCCGCGCCCCCCGCGTTCCCACCGCCCGGCGCCCGGCCGCGCGCAAAGTCCCAGCCCGCAGCCGCACACCCGGCGAGGCCGGCCTCCGCGGGGAGACCCCCGCCCGGGGCTCCGAGGCCGGGCGGCCACCCGCGGGGAAGCCCAGCCCTCCTCCAGACCCACTCGCTCCGCCGCCCTCCAGGGGGAGAGGGCTGAGGAGCGGGCGGCGGGAGGAGAGGGCAGCGCGACCCCCGGCCGCCGCCGCCGCCGCCGCCGCCTACCCCTACGCCACCTCGAGGGAGGGGGACACGGCTCTCCGCACTCGCGGCCGGACCAGCAGCCGCCGGAGCGGGGCGCCGCCGCCGCTCTCCCCGCCCGCGCCCGCGCCCGCGCCCGCACCCCCAGCCCGGGCGCGCCCCCTCGCCTGGCGGGCGCCCACCGGCCCGGCAGCCCCCTGCCGTCAGTCCTTGCGCCCCGAGCGGGGGTGTCGGCCCGGGAGGCTGGAGCGGGAGAAGGCTGTATGTACACACACACACACACACACACACACACACACACACACCACAGCACGACGCGTCGATTCCCTTCGCTCCTCTTCCAGCTGTTTTCGGTGCCGGCGACTGGGGTTTGGGGTTTGTTTGCTGGTTGTTGCTTTTGCCCCTCTCTGGAGAGCGGGGGTAGGGGCAAATTTTAATCCAAATAAGGGGCGAAGGGGAGGGGGAGGGGGGAGAGAGAATCAGAGGAGAAAAAAATAGCCACTTACTGTAAAGTGTAAATGGATCTGGGGTTGCGTGGGGAAGGGGGGGCAGAGGGAGAGAAACAGTGGCTTGCGGCTGCTGTAGCTCGGGCGGCTGCTCCACGGGGCTGTTTTGGATCCCCCTGCAGTGAAACAGGTCCTGTACGGCTCCGCCACTGTAGTAGAAATGATGTCTGCGGTATACTCTGCTCTCTCCTCCTCCTCCTCCTCCTCCTCGTCCTCCTCCTCCTCCTCGTCCTCCTCCTCCTCCTCCTACCCCCCCTGCTCCCCTCCCCTCCCTCCTCCCTCCGCCCGCCCGCCCTCCCTCCCTCGCGCTCTCTCGCGCTCGCTCGCTCGCTCGCTCCAGTATGTAAATGTGTAATAGAAGCCAAATATGGAGCAGTTGGCTGCCGCCGCCGCAGCTCAAGGATCCGACTTGGGGGGGGGGCACCCTCTGGCGGGCGGCGGGGCGAGCCGCTCGGAGCACCGCGAGCGCACGGCGCGGCGCCCGGCCGGCCGGCGCCCTTAACCCTTGGCTGCGCGCTGCCCGGGCTCGGCGGCCCCCGGGGAGGCGGCGCGTGGCCCGAGGCTGGCGCGGGAGCGGGGGGCGGGGGGTGCGACTCCGGCCGGAGGGGACGCTTCTTCCAGGTTTGGGAAAGGGGCGGGGAGCTGAAGCGATGAGGTAATTTTAGCGGTGACCGGTCGGTCCTCGCGCGCCTCCCCGGGTCCCTGCACCTAGTTGGAGGGGACAGAGCGACAGCGGGGTGCAACTCCGGGCGCCCTGGAGGACTCTCCGAGAGGTGTCGGGCTTCAGCTCGCAGCCGGCGGAATAACCCCCCCCCGGGGGAGGGGAGGGGGGCCAAGTGTGATCCCGACGTGCCCTTCGTCCCGGGCGCGCCGAGAATCGGCTAAGAGGGCTGACTCGGATCGTGGTGCCCGTTAACCCTCAAACCGGTTTCGTTCCGGAACCAGGACCACGGGGCTGCGGGGACTGCCTCTGCGTGAAACTCAGGAAAGTTTGAAGGGTCCCCGCGACTGCATGTGCACCGTCACCTTTCCTGCCCGTGAAAGCGGGTGCCCTCCCTGCCCCCCACCCCCCCCCCCACCCCTTTCGCTCTCTGCTGGTCTGGAAATCTGCTTTGGGTACTGAAGTCCCCAGCCCCAGCCTTGGAAGACGACCCGCGCACTCCTCTCGCAGCTGATTCGGGATCATTAAGTTAATCGGAAATGAGGTAACCAGTGCAGGAGATACAGAAAGCAAACCGAGCATCAAATGGCAGTTCTCGGGAATCCACGCTGAGGAACTTCCTCTGCGCTCCATGCTGATGCGCGGTTCTCAGCTGCCCACCACTCCGCCCCCTCCGCGTGCACCCCCGCCAGGTGTTAGTCGGTGGGAAGGCATCTTCTGTGGAGGGGTGCGCCCTGCCAACAGGTGTGGCTCCCGCAGAAGAGCGAAGGCACCTCCGTGCTGAAGGGAGCTCAGTGCGGCGTTCTCCTTGCTGCAGATAATTCTGGAAGACCAGTAGGTGTCTGGGCAGCATTTGACCTCTTTCAGGTGCTTAGAACCAAGTGTCTAGAAACATGATCTGTGCGCCTAAGTTTCTCCCTGGAAGCCAGCACTATTGATTGTAAGCTGTATTTGAGAAACCTTTGGCTGAGTTTACGTATGACCTAACGGTTAGTCACCAACCGAAGCAGGGTACAGAATCACCGAGAGGAATGTGTCAGCTTTTAAACAACTGTATTGTACAGCCAACGTGCGACAGAAATAAAAATAAGCATACTAACAACTAGGAAGGTGTAGAGCCCCGGAAATGATTTTTTTTCTCGCATTTTGAAATACCATGCACATATACATGGCTATTTAAATAAAACTACTACTGTTCACTCTGACTCGGTTCTACAACTTTTTTTTTTTCCTTTTTCATTTAAAACGCAATGATTGCTACAGTTCAAACCCCAGGTCGGTTTAAAGTGACATTGTCGGTCTCATTACAGCCTCTAGTGGACGGTTGAAATCAGTTTCCTGAAAAGGCTCTTCCTGGCGTCTTGTTGTTGACAAGCATTATCAAGGTGAAGGCTAATATCTCAGAACAGAACCGGGGACTGGCTCCTCCCCCTGCTTGGTGGATTCCGCTCCCGAAAGGATCAGAAGCAGTCGGTTCGGCACCGAAAAGACGTATGCTTTGTGCTTCGGGCATTATTACTACTGGCCTGTGAATAAACAGAGCTTCTGCTATTCATTTCAGTTTCGGACAGCTTTCATATAAACTAACTTCATCTAAAATATTTTTGTAGCAGAAAATATCGGTTGCCATGTTTTTCTTCTGCGGACTGCCCAATCCACCTCCACTCTATTTTTAGACATTTTTACATTGAGAGAGTTTTCAGCCCAAAACAGCTAGTATTTTAATTATTACACTGACCCAGGCAGTTAATTAATTTATTTATTTAATGTCTTAAATAAATTAAAACACATAATTCAGATTAGAGTAAGTCCATTAATTTAAATGTTCCCTTAAGGAAGCTAAATATGTATATTACCCAAACAGTAAAAACAATAAGAAATGTGTCATTTACTTTCTTAGCCATTAAGATTAAAGCCATGAAGTGTCATTAAAGTCTGTAACTATTCCTTCCTGCAAGGTGCCACGGAAACAGTATTCTCCTGATACAGTTTCATTACCTTTAGTACTGAACTGTTTTATTTTCAGATGGCAAAATATTAAATGTACAAATAACTGACACTCATTCTTTAAAAACAAGGCTCTGTCATGCAGATAAAAACTCCGTGAAAGGCCTGGGCTTCCAAGAAGCGAGTAGGCAAATATGTAGTACTATGGTCCTATTCATAAATCTGATACTGTGTTCATACAAACATAAGTCAAACTTTAAAATTAAAGGAAATTGAGAGATAAGGCCTGCCCAGCCTTACTCCTAGTCTGTGTTCTGCATTGCTCAAACACCATGGAAAATCATTTTTTATCCCTTATATCTACTTCATTGTTTTGAGGGCTTAAAGTAGGCTATCGAGTATATATGATATCATATCGTTATGTATTACATCTTGCTTCTAAAAGCCTTATCTTCAGAGCAGTGGTAGCAGCAGCTGGGAGCTGTTTAGAAATTCAGAATGAGAGTTCCACCCCAGACCTACTGAATCACAATCTGCCTTTTAGCCAGCACCCCTGGTGATTCCTGAGCACGCTATAGTATGAAGAACGTTGTCCATACTACAGGGCTCTGTCTAGGTGCATTTGCCCACAGATGTAGAACTTAATTCTTCTATTTATTCCTTTTGTATTCCCTCCGCCTTTAACTAATTTGCACTTTTTAATGGAACACAATTACACTGTATGCTTTGGTCAGATAGTACTGTGTTTCAGACAAGAGCACTGATTTCATGCGCAAATCTGCATCATCGTTGCCAAGTGGACACTCTGAGGAATGTCCTGGGGTCTTGAATGTGAAGGTTTTCTTGACGGCAGCAGAGGGAGCACAAGAGTGCTTAATAAAACAAGCATACAGGCCCTCCAAATCGTCAGGGATTTTAAATTGTAGTCTATGTTTTTACGGGAAGTCGCCTCTTTCCTACATAGTTCAAAACAAAACAAAGAGAAGCAAACACAAACAGCTTAGCAGGTTACAACAACTAAACTGAACGGATTGGGAGTTAAGTAGAATAGAGATCTACTTATTTAGAGTTCTAGACTTCATTTTTTTTAAAGTGGGCTTCCAAAGTCATACTCAGAAAAGACCCCTTAGTTTTTCCTCCATTGGAAGACAGAACCATTTCGCAAGAGATGCAAGTCATACCATCATGCTGTATGCCTTAAACTTACACAGTGACGAATGCCAATTACTTCTCGGTAAAACTGGGGGGAAAATAATGCAATGCGGCATTAGGTCACTCTAAGAGTAGCTCCTGCTTGTCTTAAAAACATTGGGGTCAGTCAACCCAACACTACATCAGATAAATCAGGTTGATTTGGAGTCAGATACGTTGGTGAAAGAATGTGCACTTCTCACCATGTTTTACTTTCCCAGTAATTGAAGGGGGTTATCCTTAACATTTGCAGTGGTGAGCATTTACATTTCAGTTTTATCTATATAGCATTTCACACTTTTCAGAGCCTTCCCTATAGCATCTTTTTTTTTTTTAAAGATTTTATTTATTTATTTGAGACAGAGAGAATGAGAGAGAGCACATGAGAGGGGGGAGGGTCAGAGGGAGAAGCAGGCTCCCCGCCAAGCAGGGAGCCGGATGCGGGACTCGATCCAGACACTCCAGGATCATGACCTGAGCCGAAGGCAGTCGCTTAACCAACTGAGCCACCCAGGCGCCCTCCCTATAGCATCTTCAAACACTCCCAAGAGGTGGATAAGACATGAGAGAGCCAAGCCTCAAAAAAGTTTTGAAACCAGTTTGTGCGTTCATAGCATTGAGTCATTTAATTGCTATAATAATCCACTGAGGTTCACAAATAAAGGAAGGCATAGATGTTAAAGATCCAGCAGCATGTTGTTTACCATTTCAAAGATTTTCCCAAGTTACTAGATAGTGAATATTTAAAAAGTGAGTATTTAAATAAGAGACTGAGGAACAGAGACTATGTCTTAATTCCCAAGCTGCTTTTTATGTATTTATCATTCATTTGCCAGCACTAGGCCCTGAAAATATAGATGAGTAAGAAATCTCTGCAAGGAATTCCCACCAAAACAAATCGTATCTTTCGAAACTGTCCATTTTTACCATGATGAAACGTAAAGACTCATAGTCAACTGATCCGGCACCTCCCCAAATCAGTATACTCATCAGACGTAGGAACATGAGAATCCAAAACTAGAGTCCTTGAAAATTTGGCAGGTAGGAGGGCAATGGTAGAACTCTCCGGCAAAATTTAATATTAATATTTCAAGTTTGTAAAACAAACAAAATGTAAAGATATGCTGTGCCTTTTCTCTGAACGCCTTTCCTATCAAAAGAATCACATGAGTAAACTGAAGTGGTAAACACTTGTTTATTTTTTCCCTTTTAAAAATTGTTTAAAAAAGATTTCCTCCTACGTTAAAGAAGGATTTGCCAAGTTTCTGCCTGGAGCCATTTGTTATAGCTATGTAATAAATCCTGGAAAGTTTGAATTTTTAATGGAAATACTGACAGACCTTTAACCATGCTATTATAGGGAGGGTGTTACCCTACATATGTCATTTTAAAATCTGAGCCAATCAAAGTGTACTGGCAAAACAAATAT